GGCCTCCCAACACTAAAAAACAAGAAATTCCTCTTTTTTTTGTAAATGTTCAACAAAAAGGTAACAACAATTACCTATACGAATAGCACAAATATTAGTTCAAAATGTACTAATACAACATAAGGGAACTAGCATTTGCCAATATAGAGTAGGAGCAAGAAAAAAAAAAATAAGTTGGCAGTTCGTAGTTTTTCAATCAAGAAAGGGTCGAATTTTGCACCCGTTTTTGCTCATGAAGAGGCTAGAAGGCTTCGCGGAGAATATATTTACGTTCTATTTCGTTGAACGCTTGAGTTCAAACCTTGTGTTGCAACTACAGGAACATTCAATGGAACGAAAATAAAATTTTATGCCAAGACCGCTACCACCCCACCAAACTCATCCTCATCTGTGTGTCATTTGTTTTCTTACAGTTGCTCCGGAGATGGTCACCAGGCAGACGTGGTCCTGCAGGCCGTGTTTCTAAAGATAAAGAAGTCACTTCCAGGCCCATAAGAGTGTTAAAGGTGGAAAGAAATCTCTTGATTTCGGTGCACAGTGTCACGTGACAAAGACGAAAAATGACGAGGTCATCTGGAAATGAGACCACTCTTTTTCCATGCATTCCTGTCTACACCAAGGAAAAAACTACTATCGACATGCTGCGTTCATTACACAGGTAGCCTTTTAGCCACTTAGCATATAAATTCTTTACCATGTTTCTTCCGGTAAAGAAGCAAATGAAATGAATGGTTAATGCCTATTGTAAAATAACCCTGATACTGCGTGCCCTCTGACAGGATGAAAACCTTCTGAATGACAAAGGAATTAACAGTTGGAATTATTTTGTTAAGAAATTTCGCTTCGGAAAAAGAACATTTTGTTGATCCCTTTTGAGCGGAAAGTAATTTCGTTTCCTAAAATATTTTTTCTTATCTTTGACCTTAGGCTGATTTGACGACTAAGACATAAATGATATTAAAGCTTGGACTAAGATAAGAAAACCAGTTGTTTAAATAATCAGAAGAAAGATGACGATTAGCAATGACTGCCTTTCTGAGTGTAGTTTACAGATCGACACTGCAGAAATTTGTCTATGCTCCAAGGTCATTCCTGTAAATAATTAAGGCTTTTCCTTTATGTGTATTTTGCTAGAAATGTATTGAATAATTATAAATTGAACTGACAAATAAAAAATATTTTTAAATGCTTAAGGATGTGGTTTTTTTCAATGCGTGTTTCCCTCGAATTATAGTCTAAGAGGGAAAGTACGGTCTAGAAAAAGTTTATCTCAATTAGAAGACTTTTAACTATGGACTTCGAAAATAGCTGCCATTTTGTCTAGTTTGCTTTGTATTAGCGACAAGAGCGCTTCGAAGTTGCCCATTTTTACAACTTCAATTTCGTGCTTAGAAAAACGCCATCTGCGATATTACGTCATTGTGACGTAGCAATAGTCGAACTTAGTTCGGCACTTCGTCCATGTTAACTAGTTTGACCTTTTGTGAAATCAATTTCTAATAGAGGTTTTGCACAGCAGCCACGTTGGATGGCAGGAACAATGAAAATATTTTGCATAAGAAAGAATTTTTTTTTCCATGGGTAAAATAATCTATTGTTCCTGCCATCTGAACGTGGCTGCTGTGCAAAACCTCTATACTCCCAATAGTTGCAGTGAGGTGAACTGTCCTGTCGAATGTCAAAATACATACTAAAATTCAAAATTAAAAGGTGTAAGTCTCTACAAGCTACCAGAAAGTGAAATATTAAAGAAAAGTTAGCCGGCAAAAAAAACCCGCGACCACGGCTTGCCGAACCCTGTAAAACTTCAGAACTGCGAAAACGAACACTTCCTCGTGCTCGAGTTTGGAAATAAAGATTGTTCACGTTGTTCACTGAGTCATCCTTGCCGCCCGACAAGTGTTGGCCCGTCACCTGTACTTAGGCCCCCTCTGAGAGAAACTACATACGGGCTACGGGCATCACGTTGTAGTTACTTGGAGCGAGCTCCTCGAGCTCGAGTTTGGAAATAAAGATTGTATTCCTTCAGTGTTGACCTTCGCTTCGAACTGAAAGCTATGCTTACCTTTTCCATATTCAACACAGCTCTCAGTTATTTATTCTACGAGTTTTTTCAAACCATTTTATTGTAAGCGATTAAATTGAAGCTCATAATGGTGGTACGCTGTGTGCGTGGTAAATTTTCAGTCGGCACCCTTGACCAAAGCCGATTTTCAACATCATGCGCTTTCCCAAGCGGTGTACAAATATATCTTGTCTTTCCTAAGTCTGTTATGAGTCCATCGAGCAAATTTTCTTTACCCCAACAGTCACATTCTCCTGCGAAGAATAAACTTCGTGGCATTTAATACATCGCTAGCAAATTATCAAGACAAACACGTTTGCGACTAATACAAATAATCCTTCGTCAGGCAGGCGCCCATCCTTCACTATATCATATCGATTGGACATGATAAAAATATGAAAATATTTATGTCTTCCAACCAACTACTTGAGGTAATTATGTAGTGCTTATGCTTTCAAAAGAAATCGAAAGTTTCATTTTAGCTTCAATTACATTGAGGTAATTTCTAATGTAAACACTGTATGACAGAGGCGATTTTCCGGCGCGCGTCGAAAATAACAAAGCTTTACACTTCTCACAAGTCGCGACATTTCAAACATTTTACAACGAAAAGTACTGCGTTGAAGCTAATTCTAAGCAATGAAGATAAAAAACAACTTTGAAAGTTAAAGGTAAACGCTGAAACAAACAAAATTTAATTCGTAACAATTAACTTCTGCCTTTTGTCTGCGTTAATTTTGGCAACTAAGTGTTTGTAATCAATTTTGTCACTGTTTACGCAGAAGACGAATGATCTTCAAGTCTATCATTTCTAACTTATTGTATGCCAACTGGGGCTGATCTTAGTTTCAAATGGCTCGTATTCAGTTATACACCGAAGCTGGGTTCCTGTAACTGCAAAAATAGTTCGTCTCATTCCGAGGTAGCTATGTGAAATGGATCCGTAACGGGCACTGCGGTCTTCTTCTCCACAGCGAAGATTTATTTGAGAAAAAAACCTTTGCTTTTCAAATTGAGTCGGTGTCCTAGTACATTTAATTCTTAGGAGGATACATTCTCGTTTTCCGTAGGTTTCTCTTGACAGTTGCCGCAGGACTACTCGCGATTTCCAAGACGTGAGCGACTGGGTGGGTCGACGTTTCTTCTTGAAATTCATTTTCTTGACGTTCTCTCTCTCTTTCTCCCCAACAGAAGTATCTCCTTCCCCTGAAGACGAGCATGTTTCGTTTGAAACATAAATGGGTGTACTACATCCTCTCTGCTAAATTAAATCCAAGTCGAGAATTTAATAAGTGGCGCCCCGCCTCGCGCCTGTTCTCCTCGTTTACATCCACTTCAGAGGGACATAAATTAGCATGTTTGACTATTGCTACGTCATTACAAAGATGGCGGATTTCAATTTGAAAGTGTCGATTTTTGGAACGTAATTGTTCGCAACTAAAACGCTTTTAGCTCAAATGAATAGCCAGTTAGGACAATGCATGCAAGAAACTTTTGATATAAGTAAACTTTTCCTAGACCGTACTTTCCCTTTAACGCCAACCAATAGGGACCTCAGCAAGAACATTGTCGTGCACAACTGAAAAATGATACACTGCGCATGCGTGCTAAATGAATCTATGTAGAATCGCAGGAAGCGTGAATTCAAAGAAGACATGATCAATCATTGAAAATGTCACTTTCTGCGTTAATTTGGTTGGAAAATTCATATACTTTCTGGGGCGGATCTAGGATCAGTCAAGGGGGGTTCGGGAATTGTCCTAGGGCATGCTCCCCCGGGAGATTTTGAAAATTAGGTCTTCGGAAACACGATTTCCAGCATTTTGAGAGACAATTTAGGGGGAACGTTCGACCGAACCACCCCTATATCCGCCTCAGTCTCTATGCATATTTTGAAACATTGTGAGTTTTTACTGAACGTGGAGCGCGTGACGAATTTATTCATAGATGCCGTTGCGCTTCTACTTTCATGAATCTTTTCTTCGCTCCTAATGAACGACATGAATAAAAACTCTAGTATTCGAAGGTCTTCGTCTCGGTAATGCGTTTGGACTTGAAGGGTCGATTCCCTGTTAACCTCTTGCTTACGTTCACTTTTTTGTTTTTTTGACTATAATTTCTGAGCGTGGCCCTTTAAGCGAGGTGTTTGTTGTTGTTTGAATTTTATTTGCGGAATCAAATAAATCCATTCTCAAGTTAATGAGAGCTTAAACTCCTTCTTAGATAAGCTATCGCGTTACAAACCTCAATCTTCATTTGCTTAGCGGAGTCATAAACCCGGCGGGGAGTTTAATTGTTTATTCTACTTCCGCCGAAGATATAACGCCATTTCCGGTCAAGTTTTGTTGTTTATCAGCTTTTATACACCAATCAGAACTGTTGTTCGTGATCGTGGTAAGCACATCGTTTCAAAGCACCAACCAAAATGTGGACGTCCTTTTCGAAATTTCTAGGTAAATTTCATCGTCTTTCTCCGAGTTGCTGTCTTGGTAACTTCATTAAGAGATACATATCTTCGTCGAGAGTAATCAACAACCGTTCTGAGTGGAATTCTGTGGTATTTTTGAGAGCAAGGGAATATAAAGACCGAGTTGCGATTGTTGATTCGAATGGAAGCCACTCATACGAGCATGTTCTTCACTTGAGTCAAATAATCGGAAACAAAATCTTAGAGAGGATCGGAAAAAGAGATCTTTCCGGTCGATGTGTTGCTTTTTTATGTCCAAACGACGTTTCATATGTGGCTTCGAAGTGGGCGATCTGGAGAAATGGCGGCACTGCAGTTCCCCTGTGCAATTCTCATCCTGCGAGCATGCACGATTACGTGATCCAAGACTGTAACGCCGAGTTAGTTATATCGTCCAGTGACTATGCACCTAAACTAGAATCAATAGCTAAGGGACAGGAAGTCGACATCATGTTTTTGACAGATGTCAATCAAGTCTTAGCATCTGCCAATCAGATGTTGTCAAGTGAAGAGCTCACTACAGTGGAAATGACTGAACAATGTTGGGATAAGCGTGACGCAATGATTGTGTATACGAGTGGAACCACAGGGCAACCAAAAGGTGTTTTATCCACTCATGGAAATTTGAGGTTAGTTAGTAATTTGTTTTTAATTTAAGGGCTGCATTGAAATTATCTTTCAACAACTTCTGATTGACTACTAGATTCTACTCTCAAATTGTCTTACAAACACCTATGAAAAACAGAGAAGTAGATTTTGTTTCAAAAGTCACATTGTGGGGGATCCTGTGACTTAGTGGTAAACACAGTGCTCTCAAAATCTCTCTCTCAACAAGGGCATGTAAATCGGCACTGTGAGAGGGAGACTCTCATTTTGATATAACCTCCTACCTCTCAGAGTAAAAGTGTTTCTTTCAACACCATGCAGCAGAGAGAAGGATGAACTCAATGTGTTTAGACATGTTGGCAGACTTAACTCATGGGCTGAATATTCTTGAGCTAAACTGATAGGTAGATTTTCTTCATCTTGTCACAGACATAGGACAACAGAAATACCCCAGGGAGCAGGCTTAATTATAAGTGTAAATTGGCCACTGTAAAGAGTTAAAAAGCTGACGTTTTGGGCGTTAGCCCTTCGTCATTCGCTCTGACGAAGGGCTAATGCTCAAAATGTCAGCTTTTTAACTCTTTACGGTGGCCAATTTACAACTTCAACTTGGTTGATATTACGAAATTACCTTGTTACCCCCACCGATGCAGCACCACAGTTTCTTTAGAAACTTACCCCCTTTATCAATTATAAGTGCCCTCATAATTCAAGTGCTGTAGGACGAGTGTTCACCCATAGAAAGATTTTAAACCATNTTTTGCATCGTTAAGTTGTTATCGTTAGCTTCAATTCATGATTTCCGGTGAATTTAAGTGGGGGTCAGTAAGGGGGGCCAGTTGACCCGGGGTCAGTGTTTTGTCCTACTGCTGCCCAGATGCATGTGTTTTTATTACCTAACAGTCTTAGCAACAGTTCAATTCACATTTCTGTTTCATCAGATCCCAGATTACTGCTTTAGTCAAAGCATGGGAATGGACTGCAGCTGACTATATTATCCACTGTCTACCACTTCATCATGTCCATGGCATAGTAAATGTCCTTCTTTGTCCTTTGTGGGTTGGAGCCACATGTCACATGTTACCAAAGTTTAAGCCTGACAAGGTAAACATACCGACCGGTACTTACAAAGTCTTTCACACCTAAGAAGTTAGTGCTCATTCTTCTTGCTGACTGTTTACATTTCCTCACTTAGGAAAGGGTTGACTTGAGAAATAATTAGAGATATAGACTACTTTCATAAATGGCTGCCTGATTAATAATTATTCTTTTGTTTAAATTTAGATTAGCCCTTCTGGCCTCGTTCTCCAGTACAAAATTCAAAAGAATACATTATCTCAAGCGAGTCCAGAAGGGCTAATTTAAATTTAAACAAAAGATTATTAATCCGGCAGCCATTTATGAAAGTGGTCTATAGTGGTCTGTAGGAGTTTCATGAATTTTACTAAATTCAGGTGGAGCACCTACAGGGCTAAACACTAACTTTTCAACTTACTAGCCAAGTAGCTAGTGACATGATTTTAGACGTTACAACAATTTCACTTTTTTCACTTAACCAAACTGGTTAGTGGAAATCGAAAACCAGCAGCCAAACCTGAATTTCTACTAGTCTGTAGCTAGTGGGCTACCGTTAGTGTTGAGCCCTGCACCTATATGAGGGGGGCTTTGGGATTTTCAGTTTCGTGGTTATGACTGTTTTTTGGATCGGTTTTTTGGTTTTTGGGCCAGAAAGGTCCGGGGTTTTGGTTTTGATGTTCAGAGCAGTTTGCGGATTTTATGTGTTTTTGCATTTGGTTTTTGGTTTTCACGAAAACTCTGATGCGGTTTTCGATTTTTTCTTTTTTGACCCCTTTAAAGGTGAAAATGTAGTGGTTTTGTCAGGTTTGCATGCGGTTTTTGGTTTTGCTGCCTTTTTTGTCGGTTTTTCGGTTTTGGAGGTTTTTTTCTCCGGTTTTGCAGTTTCCCAGAGGCCCCAATGCCCCCCTCCTATATATATTGTTCCAAAAAACCTGTAATAGGGTAGGTAGGACTGCATAAAGCTGCATGGTTCAGCATAAGGCCTACAAAGTCAAATCTAGGAAGAGAGAGGTAGACAATCATATAGACAAAGCAGCAGTCTTGTGATGAATTAAAGCTCTTCAACTGAGTTAGATCATAAAAGAGGGGGAAATATTTGAGCTGAGCTGGGTCCTTACATCACAACCTCCTGGTTTGTAAAAAAACTTGTAGAGATTATGAACATGCATGATGGACATAGCTTATAGTTTAATTCTGATAAAAGGAATCGAGTAGATTGACCTGAAAGTCGGGTTTTAATTGATCTAGCCTAATTCACAAACAACAAGATGGCCGCCTTGAATGTCAAACCTCTGACCACACAAAGGCTCATAAGCCATGGGTAACCCACAGTAACAATATCGTAACAAGATATAGTTATGATAAATCTTTATAATGTTCAAGTCAATAATTTATATCATGACAGTGTTATCTCCCCATATTTAACCATAGGTGTGGGATATCCTAACTGGAGATGAGCCACGCCCATCTTTATTCATGGCTGTTCCAACAATTTACAGCAAACTGATAGAGCACTATGAGAAAGAGAAGTGGACAGAACAAGAGAAAGAGAGAATCAGATTTAGATGTGAACAGCTCAGGTAGATTAAATTTGTGTTCTTGTTCTGGGATTTCTTATATTTTTTCTTTCTAAACAGCTCTTCAGAGACAAAAAATTGACAGTGATGTAGTATTCAGTTGAGTGATGGTTATTACATTCTTATAAATTTCCATTGTTAACAAGTTTTTGTGCTTGTTTTTTCTGTTATTTCAAACTGTGGATGACAGATTGATGGTATCTGGTTCAGCTGCTCTGCCTGAACCTGTTATGAAAAGATGGAAAGAGATAACAGGTAAATCTGTAAAATTCTTTTATGTGACAAAATATATCGTTAGTCTTGCCATGATGATGAGACAAAGGAAAAATATGAGCTCCCTATGAAGAATCAAACTGTAATCTTTCAGATACTTCTACAATGAGCTGGACCATTTACCTCTTACGCCCAGGCGTCAGTGTGCATATTCTCTTTTCTCTACTCTTAGACTATGCATTTTCCAATGTGCTAACAAGGAGAATTTGTATACCAATCAAGAGTTTTTTAGTTGGTGATCATTTCCCTTACTCTCCTGACCTTGATATGTGATTCTAGGGTGAGATTGTAAGGACAAATTAGATGTTAGTCACTCCCAGATGTCAAAGGGTGAAGTCCTATTCAAAGAAATCATTCTTGTTGTGGCTACCATTTTAATTCCGTTTTGTTATTTTCATTTCCGATTGTTTCGTTACGTAATATCATGTGACTTATTCCCACGTGCTTTTAGAAGAAAAAAGTCGCTTCGTTAACGTATGTTGTAGTCCTGGTATGGGTCGTTGAATTCCCAATCAGGGTAAAACAGTTCTTTAACGTGCTTAAGGCACGTTTGTTTGTTTTATTAGATTGACTTTAAGGACACTTGTTGTAAATCTTCTCTGACAATCCTTGAAAAACCTCTTGGGACTCATGTGAGGAAATAGTTGAAAACCTTGTGGCCAACAAAATCCCCACCCCCCCCCCGCAACTCGGTAAGAATATTGGAAAATAGGGAAGGGGTGGGCTTGAAACGCACTCTTAGTGATCATTTTTAGGATATATAGTTGCATATTTCATACAAGGTTCTGGGCGTGGTAGCAAAAGTAGCAAGCGTGAAGGTCCTCATTCTTACTGCAGCTGAAGGATATACGTTTCTCTGCCCACGGGAAAAGGTCTGCCAGGGGTTTGGCACTAATTATCAGTGCTATGCCACTTTCAGGCTTCTCGCGGACTCGCGTTGTGGAAGTCCTCGTACTTTCCCGCGGGTACACCCGCGGGTGAAGATACGTCCGTCCCGAAGCTGTGAAACATAAGGACCTGCTTGCAGGCTCATACAGGTGTCCTAACAGTGTTTGGCTAGGTTTGAAGGTTCAAATGTGATCAGCGTTCTGAATTCTGCTAGAATCAGCAATGTTGAAAAGTCGTGTGAATAACTTGAAAAGAATACGAAACATGTTAAAGGTGCTCATCTCTTTTTACTAAAGGACATACTTTGTTAGAAAGATATGGAATGACAGAGATAGGGATGGCTCTCTCGAACCCGCTGCATGGACCAAGATTGGCGGTAAGATGTAAAAATCATCCAGCCAATGGCTGTTGGTAGTGAGCCTAATTGTACACGCACTTTGATTGGTTGTTATTTTTGTTCCAGTGGAACATAGATGACGTCACCATTAACCCTTAACACCCCAACATCAGCATCCACCATTCCCCATGCTCTTCTCTATACATTGCGTTTGCCACTTACAAGGAGAAATTATCTATCAATCAAAGCTTTCCAGGTTGGCTATATTTTTCTTAATCTCAAGATCTTAATGAATGATTCAGCAGTATCATAGTAAAGAGGAATTAGACGCTGGTCAATCTTAAGGTTAAAATGGTCAGGGCTCGACACGAACTTTTCAACTTACTAGCCAAGTGGCTAGTTACATCTTAGATGTTACGACAATTTCAGTTTGTTTACCAGCCAAACTGACTAGTGGAAATCGAAAACCACTAGCCAAAACTGGATTTCTACTAGTCTGTGGTTAGTGGGCTACCGTTAGTGTCGAGCCCTGGGGGTTAAAACTTTTTTGGTTCTTCATCATAGCAAACTCAACAAATCGATAATGATTTAGCGTGGTCTGTACTCTTATCGACAACGATATTCATCATCGCAGTGGTCAAAATGTTGCGTGCCTCGTGAGTCTGAAAGAAATTCTGACCACTGTTCATAGAAGACATCAAAATGTGGCGCCATCGTGTGCCACATTTTAGTTCTCGTCTTTGACGTAATCTATGATCTATAATTGAACAGTCGCGCGGCAGCATGGAATCTAGTGGTCAAATAGTATTGAACGCCGTATGTTAGCTCCGTTGCTTGACTTGATCATGTGACTATTTAATTAAGCGTTGTGTCATCGTAGGGTTCTGTGGGAACACCTTTACCCGGGACAGAAGTTCGGATTGTTACAGAGAATGTGGATGGTGAAAAAGAAGTAAGTGAATTTTGTATCATCATATTTGTACAAACCAACAATAATTCAGTTGCAAATTTGGGATCAGTATCACTGATTGCAACCACATACCCACCCCTCCCCCTCCAACCCAACATTGACGCTAACTTGACCGTTGTCAGGTTAGGGGAGGGGTAGGTGCGCAGTAGTTCGAATTCTGACAGTGAACACAGGTATTTTTCATTTTTTCCCATCAATCAGGTTATAGCTGCAGGGAACGAACATGGTTCTTCTGTTTCTTCTTGCAATGAAGGCCGAGAAGGAGAGCTCCAAGTTCGTGGACCATCAGTGTTCAAATGGTTAGTGTTTGCGTAAGGATAAACTGCATGTGTGGTTTTTCCCTTTTTCCCTACAAGATTTCATTGGGAAATAAAGTGCTTTCTGCTGGTTTCGACGCGTACATTTGCTCTTCCACTTATTTAACCCTTTACGCTGTAACATTAGATTTCATACTGTTCCACACTGATCTGTCTTTGACAAGGAGAATTCGATTAACAATCCAAGCTTCCCAGGATGGCGACTGTAATGAAAGAGAAGTTCAACTTTTGGACAATTGAGGCTTTAATAAACAAAACCTTGTGCTTACTTACTGAACACCATAAAAATGGCGGCCTAACAAAAAAAAAACAAGTCCGCTGACACGTATGGACTAACAACTCCACTGACATATGGCCGGGCACTAAACTACACAGGGAGCCCAGTAAATAACATAATAGTGATTCAAGTGCCGGTTAGATTGTCACATTGTCACTACAGCAACCACTTCCTTTATTCTCATGATTGTCACGCTTCATTCAGCAGAGATATTAGATGCTGGTCCCTCATAGAGTTTAAAGGGTTAAGGCACAGAGAAGTACATTTCAGGTTGTGTGTAAAACCTGCCTACCAGACTGGATTGCTTATCTGCTGGGACTAATCTGGGTTCCTGTAGCATGAATTTGCTAGGGATATTTCCACCTTGCAGCCATGAGATGTTAAGTTACTCCTCAACAGGGTGCAGCCCAGCATTTTGTCACGTTGTTCATATATGCACTGAACCGTACTGTTAATCAGAGTTAAAACTTTTTGTAATCACATGAAGGTTTTATTTACCATATTAGGGTATACACTTATCATTTCACATCCCTGCACCATTTTTCATCAGTTACTGGAATAAACCTGATGCTACACGAGAAACCTTTACAGAGGACAGCTGGTTTAAAACAGGCGATACTGCTGGTAAATGCATACCTCATGCTTTTTGAGTTGCGGAACGTTTTTTTCTCTTTGATTTTAGCGCGTATATCTTTTTTCTTTTAAAATATCCGGCGTCAGAATTTGTTACTCTCACTTCCAGCTTATACAGATAGAGTTTACAGCATTCTGGGCAGGACATCAGTGGATATCATTGAAAGTGGAGGCTACAAGATCAGGTCAGAATCAAAATGCATGTCAAATATGGGGAGTGGAGTTTTAGTCGGCCGAGTGCCAATTTCCCGCACAAATTTAACCGCTGTGGCCTAGCTTTGATTCCTGAACCTGGCGTGACGTGTGCATACTTAACAATTATTCCACGAGCGCGCGTTGGATATAATCATCTCATATCCAACAAGCGCGAGTGGAATAATTATTTTATTAAAAACGCCCCCAAGAAATTATTATTTTGTGAGAAGAAACCGGATTTTTTAGCTCTCTTTTGATTTTAAACTGACGCGTACGGTTACCATATTTGTAGATTATGGTTTATTGGCTCATATACCATAATGGCTAAGCCAATAAAAAGTCTTGAATTGCATTATCCAATGATCCAGTTTTTAGTAATACAGTTTATGGTACGTTCTCCTCTTTCCACGTACTATATAATCCAATTTCAATTCTGCTTCGAAATGTAGAGCGAAGAGCTTCTTTTTCATATAATGAAAAAGTCAGTGTCAAAATGCTATTGGAGTCAAATAGGGTTTCAGGCAACGGGAGGATTCTTGGCGATTTCTATCGTAACAATGTTCATTTATTTTGTTCAAATTATGGTAGGAATGAGAGAAGTTTTATCGCTTCGATTTGCCGTGAATCGCGTCCTATTGTTAGCTTGGCGCCGAGCGATTTGTATCAACAGCACTAATACTTAAAAATAACCCAATCGCGAAAAAAGAGGCTGGAGTCCGAACTCCGTAGAAAATATGTGATTAGAATAATCACAACATTCAGTTTAAATAAAACTCCTCGAACTTCTTAAATATTAAAAGCTGAGAGATTTAAATAAGCGTGAACGAAGACTCAACAATAACAACCAAACCAAACTCCGTAAAGAAAAACGACCAAGATACGCGCGAGAATGTCCACGCTAATTTCCAACGTTGAGGCTAAAGCTCCCGGTGTGATTGGCTAATTTACAAATATCACGCGCGCCTCGCCTGACAACAAAACTAAAACGAATGGGGAAGGGGTAGGGGAAAATGTGCTTGAAATTCAAAAAACGAAAGAGGTTTTCTACAAATACTAGACTACTTACCTCAGTATAAATGAGAATTTTTATCAGACTGTTGTTAAATTAAAATGTTGTCTTGTGAACGTTTTTCCTTGCAGTGCTCTTGAAGTTGAGCGGCATCTTTTGTCACACAATGACATCATAGACTGTGCTGTGTTGGGCAAACCTGATCCCGTGTGGGGGGAGCGTGTGGCTGCAATTGTCACGCTGAGTCCTGGAAAGGTATGCATCTGTAACCAGTATTAAAAAATAGCCATTCTAAGAGTTCTTGTGGTTACTGATCTAGCTTTGAAAAGAACCGGAGATTGTAGAATGACCCAAGAGGTAAGTGTTTTAGAAAATTTGTAATTACATGCAAAAAAGAAAACCTGCTGCATCCCACATATTTATGAGTGCCCCTACTCCACAACAGGAAGATAAAACAAGAATATAGTGACTAATTGACATTCAACTCAGTGCTTTCATTAAGACCTGGCACCCGCTCTCCGGTGGGTGCTGTACCGAGGTAGCCACCTATTTCAAATCTTATTGAAAGCACTGCAACTAATGATTAAATTATAACAAATTATCATATTAACTGAAGCCATTACAATAACGATAGTGATATGGTAATAATTCCAAGGGGCTTAATCAAAAAATCGGCCAGCAGAGGCCATTCATTCATTCATTCATTCATTCATTCTTTTATTCACACTTATTCTACTAAAAATACAACAACGAAAAAGACAGAGTTCTAACTATACATGAATTTACACATAACAGCGGAAAGATTGTGTAGTAGCCAAAGGAGCCAAGCTTTCGAGTTGGCCACTACCACAGAGCAGTTACGGATGGGTGAAAGTTAAATACACTTAAGGAGATAGCACATATACTAAATAGTTAAAATAGTAAAATGGAGCTCTATGATAGGTTAAAGTTGTTCAAGATGTCTGCCTGCCAAGTAGGTTACCACGGTTACCAGTGGCCAAAATTCCAAAACGTTTACTCATGGCCAAAGTGCCAAAATGGCCACTAGTGGCCGAGTTTGGATTTTAGATAAAATGATTGCATGAGATCCAACCCAAGCTCTGATTGGTCTGAAACCTATAATTCATTGTACATTTTCTTCTGATATTACAAAAGCAGTAGACGAATCTTCCTTTCAGTTTACTAGCAAAAACAAATTTGGGATGTTGCTCGCCCAAAGGGAGTGATCCACCAACTTTTATGGCGCTTCTGCTACGCTGGCGAATAAGTTGAAAGTGCTGTCTGTTGCTTGAAGACACCACACAAAAACTTTGTATCAGCCCCAATAAGAAAATACTTCGGTAACAAGCAAAGTTTCATTCAGTTGATTGTTGTCTCAACCTGCGTTCATTTAATTTCAAATTTTAAAAGAAATTCCGCCACTCTTATGATCGTGGGGACATCTTGAGCCCCCTTACATAACGGAAGTGTGGCTTTCATGCGGTCTTCAGGATCATTGAATCTTACCTTTAAAATGTCTCCACTTTTGGACAAAATTCCTTTTTCCACCAAGAGAGAAGGTTCGAGCATGACAGTAAACACATCATTCACTCTTTTTTTCTCTTTTCTTTTAATCATAACGACAAATCGCTTTCTAACCTGATTTAAATACTGTTTATTCAAGGCTCATGTACGCCATCTTAGAATTATCATCATCGATACTCATGCAAAACGTAATTTCCACTGATTTTACAATTTGGCGGGAAATCTGCCCCATCAATGAGAAGAAAACGCTTGGTTTAGTTGCCCTTTTGGGATTTTGGCCAAAAGTGGCCGTTTTGTCATTTTCGCCACTGGTAGCCGTTTTGGCGTTTTTGCCACTAGTGGCAGTTTTGGGATTTTCACCACTAATGGCCATTTTGGCATTTTGGTCACTGGTGGACATTTTGGGATTTTGGCCACTAATGCCCCTTTTAGCATTTTGGCCACTAGTGGCCGTTTTGGCCACTATTACCCGTTTGGCATTTCGGTCACTAGTCGCCGTTTTGGGATTCTGACCACTAGTGCCCGTTTTGGCCACTAGTGGCCGTTTTGCCATTCTGGCTTCTAATGGCCGGCATTTCGGGATTCTGCCCACTTGGAGCCGTTTTGACATTTTGGGCACCAGTGGCCGTTTTGGCATTTTGGCCACTAGTGGCCATTTTGGCATTTTCAACACTAATGGCCCTTTTAGCATTTTAGCCACTAGTGGCCATTTTGGCCACTATTACCCATTTTGGCCACTACTGGCCGTTTTGCCATTTTTGCCACTACTGGCCGTTTTGGCATTTTGGCTACTAGTGGCCGTTTTGGTATTTTGGCCACTAGTGGCTGTTTTTCCACTAGTGGCCGTTTTGGCATATTGGCCACTAGTGGCCGTTTTAGCATTTTGGCCACTAGTGGCAGTTTTTACATTTTCACCACTAGTGGCCCTTATAGCAATTTGGCCACTAGTGGCCGTTTTGGCCACTATCAGCCATTTTGGCCACTAGTGGCCGTTTTTTCCATTTTGGCGACTAGTGGCCGTTTTGTCATTTTGACCACTAGTGGCCGTTTTGACATTTTGGCCACTAGTGGACATTTTGGGATTTTGGCCAATAGTAGCCGTTTTAGGATTTTTGCCACTAGTTGCACTTTTGGAATTTTGGCCCCTGGTGGCTGTCTTGGCATATTGGCCAGTAGTGGTAATTTTGGCCACTATTAGCCATTTTGGCATATCGGCCACTAGTTGTCGTTTTGACATTTTGGCCACTACTGGCCGTTTTGGCATTTTTGCCACTAATGGCCGTTGTGGCATTTGGGCCACCAGTGGCCGTTTTGGCATTTTGGTCACTAGCGGCCGTTTTTGGATTTTGGTCGCTAGTGGCTGTTTTTGCACTTTTTTGGCCGTTTCGGGATCTTGGCCACTAGTGGTCATTTTGGCATTTTGACTACTAGTGGCCTTTTG